ATTCATAATCCGAATGATCCGTTTTTTGATCAGATCGGATGACGGATTGAACGGATTTCACCGGAGCATACCTCTACATCCACTTTTCCTTCGCCGTACATTACGTCTTTGTGTGTTAGTTTCTGCGATAATATTTCCTGTTCATTTCAATAAGATCTTTCCGATTTCTACAAAAAAGATGTTTTAATTTTTGTCACATGCGATCATAGCAACCCAGTCCACAACGGTATGTTATATAACATTCGTTGAGGAACACTAAGGGGACTTTAGGCTGCAACGGCATATATCAAAATCTAATATCAAGTAGTAATGGACAAATGTTCACGATCACAGCAACCCAGTCCACAACGGTATGTCATATAACATTCGTTGAGGAACACTAAGGGGATTTTAGGCTGAAACGGCAAACACATACATGTACAAAACTAGAGCTTTGGTAGTTTGGTGGATATAAAGACGTGTAAAGTTAATGTCTTAATTTTTATTAATAATTTTTAGTTACCATGTGAAAAAAATAAATCTACATGACCATCACAGAGTATCATTTCATTGAAGTTATATCGGAAAGTTTTCGAATCCTCTTTGCTTTGATTGGCGAAGAATCAGCCTCAAAAACTCTTTTACTTCTTGCCAAAGCTCTGACCTGGTGAAACTTTAATTTACTGGTTTTTATTCTTATCTGTATGTTGAGCAATATGAATGAGTATAACTAAGCAATCCTTCGAAAAAAAAAACGAATATATACCTTAAATGAGTAAACGATTCTAATTGCATATAATAGATCTTGAATGCCACTCCCTCAAATGAGGGAAGGTGAAATTCTCCCAATAGGTAAGAGCACATGAGATATATGGAAGCTTGAAAACTGCCCCAGAACTGGAAATGATTTCCAATACCTCGTATTCCGAAAAATTCAAGATCCCCAATTTCCTTCTTTGCTTCTTCTGGCATTGTAAGGGCCTGCATTGCAGACATTGTCGAGAATCCCTTAAACAAAACTTCCAAATCTTCACGGTTGTTTCTGTTTTCAGCTTCATGGTAATTACCAAGGCCACCTTTTAGTTCAACCCAAACATTCTCAAATTCCTCGGCATCATCCAGACCATCTACACGAGTTTTTGCTTTGATTTTTGGTAACATCAATGCTTTGTCGTAGTTAGCGACTATTTTTTCTGCATTTGATTCAATTTCTCCAGGCTTTATTGGCACAAGAAGTCGAGATACTAACTGTGTTTTAACCCATTGTTCTTTCATTTCCCCGAGAAAAGTACCGTCCTGCCATTGTACAATCCTATAAGAAAAACTGTTATTATGTGATATAGTAAAAGGTGATGACAAGGATGACACTTACACCCATTTTATGAGCTCAGATGCCCACAAAATATCTCGTAATCGTTTGTCCAATATATCAGAAGGAAGAGATATTGGCCATTGTTTCTCCAGCGAAGTCAGGGTCTGACAATCAGAAAATTCCTTAAGGTATTGAACTAATCGTATTCGATTCACAATTTTAAGAACTTCTGTGGTGTCCTCTTCGGTATCCGTCAAGCTGTATACCAACTTTAGGTTACCTGGTTTTAAGAGCATCCTTTTTTTTTCTTCGCCAAACATATTTATCAGCGTTTTTTCGTCATCCTCCGTAGAAAAAGCATTTTTCAACTTATGTTTTGATAAAAATGGGATGATGACTTCGTCCCAATGCTCATCACTTATTTGTGATGTACAATCCGTATCTGAAAAGTTAAAATGGCCGCGTTTAATTATACCAATCCCCTTTAGGTTATTGCTTAAATTTATATCGTCCATTTTCCAATCTTCCCTCATATGTGAATATTCAGCGTGAAGAGGAATTTGATCAAGATAACACGGCAAGTTATTTGCCTGTGTATTGCTGTTATTATCGACTTTGACAGGAGGTGTACTTGATTTAGCCTCGTCATTGTCGTCTTCGTTCTCTTCTAAATTATTTGTTACTTTATTTAAACTATTAAGTAAATTATTGTGAACGATGTCAGTTGCCAGATCGTGTCTTTCGTTCGCCATGGTTAACGTTTTCTCTGTAGTCCTCTTCTCCTTCATCTTTCTCTCCTTTCTCATAAAATAAAAATCTATCTTATCGTTCCTAAAAAAATTGTCTCGCTTCAAATATCCCTCAGCAATGTTACGAAATTTAGTATCGTCACGTAACGATTTTAATATATTCTGAAGTGCATCTATGCCATCCGATAAGGAAGTATAACCAAAATACGAGTAAAAATTTTTTGCAACCAATGTACTATCTGTCAAATGCTGGCAAACATATTGATATTCTGTAAGCTTACGCTCCATTGTATTAGTACCGTAATTTTATGAAAAACAAGACGCGCGCCAACATGAATATAAAATTTTTGTAGCACGTGATAGATAACCAATCACAATTGAAGTAAAAAAATCGCTAAAAGATTTATCCGGAAAAACTTTTACAATACTGTGTATAAAAAAAGTGATCGTGGCCCGTGATCACATCACTATTTTATATATCGCGTGACGGTACTTTATTAATACACGCGAATGATAAAAAAAAATAAATACAGCCCACTGTACATGAAGAAATTTCTATGTTATGATCGTGAACTTGATTTTATTGTTTGAAGTGAAGCAAGTAAGACAATATCTGTTCCATTCCTATACCATTCACCTTGTAATCCATAATTCCCATGTTTTCCATTGCAAATAGGACATGGTGAGCTCCACGGCTGAAGTGATGCAAAATTATAATTATCAATCCCCTAAAACTATTTCAGAATTTCAAGTATGGGAAGTGCTCTAAGACGGATTTGATAATTAATTCTGGATTGGATCTGGCTTCGAAAGTGATGGGCTCGAAATCAGAGGCTTGAGGTTTGTTTCACAGCTTTTGATAATTACCATAGTTCATGACCAGTTTCTTTTTTATATCTTTTATATAATTTGAAGCAAATTTTATCTGTCAAAATGCTTGGTAACCCACTTAATTTAGCATACCAATCTAGATATTCAGAAGTTAATGTTTTATAGAATATGGTCTGAATATCAAAACTTTTGGATACTAGACAAACAAACTTCTTAATTTTTTGTATCCTTTTAGGAATAACAATTTTCAGCTTTTCATTGTACCATACCTCAAGAAGGGAAATTCCTTTATCTTGACATATGCATCATTTTTTTCGATCACGATTAACAATATCTTCGAGTTTTTTAACATCCTTATACCAGCTAGTGCTATGAAGTCGGTGCTGAATCCCTTGCACCTCTAATGCAATTCGATATTTTTAGAAGAAAGCATCAAACTCTAATCCGTTTAAAAAAGGAAGGCGATATTCGATAATAGGTTCCTTATTAAGAATTTCCTTAGCTATCTGAATACATCTAGTCTGAAATTTGCGATTTTTCTTAGCTTCTCTCTCTGCCTGATCCTGCTCTAGTTTTAAAATTCTAGCATCTATTTTTGCCTAATTCTGCTTTAGTTTAGTGATCAATACTTCAAACCTAGCTTGCTCATCAATTATCTTAGCCTCAAGTTCAGTGATCAATACTTTAAGATCAGATGACATGATAGATAATATTTTCATACATAAAAGAATTATTCAATGTTACATGTACATGGTAAATGTAAAATTGCTTTATTAATACATGCAAAAAATAAATACAAAAGTTCAGGACGTAGCCTGTGATACATATTATTTTTTGATTAATATTTTGATCCTAACCTTCTTACTAGTTGGGAAACTATCTACACTAACCCTATCCTTCAACAACCTAACAATTATACCTATTACCCTTTTCACGTTACTTCAAAGTAGCTTAGGATTTTCTTTAATAGTGGACTTTGTAAGATTAATCTGATATTCGCTACCGCTTGTGGAGAAGATGCCATCTAGAGTATATATGATAAAATGCCTGTGGTCACAATACCATAGATATAGTCAAAATAGTTATTCCCAAAATGCTTGATCTGCAGTTCACTTCTTCTTATTTGTCTGGAATGTACTTTCAAGTTGCGCCAGATTCTGTAAAATGCTATTAATACTATTGAATCTTCTATAAAGCACAAACGGAAAGTAAATTTACCTGTGCATATTCAATTTTAATATTACGAGGCTTTCCTTCAGTATTACATAAGAGATCTTCTAGATTTTTGATTGCGTAGTCTACTTTGCCTGTTGCATTCTCACTGGATATATCTTTCTGTAAAACTATAAATATATCTTGGGAGGTAAGTTTTTTAGCTATAGCGAT